TCTATTCAACTGATACAAACACAGACATTTCAGATTAGATGTCTTACAATCTAGCTGTCCAATACCACTTTCTGGTTTCGTCCTCTTATCCCCAAGGACTGCATAGCACACTGACCAAAGGGGATCAGTAAGAAGACAACCTGCAGAAGGTCAGACGAGTGAACAACATGAAGGAAAACAGGGGCTGAAGAGGAAAACAGCAATCAGGATAACTGAAAAGAAAGCTTGAATTACAATTTGAGAACAAGTATCCAAACTTTGGCAAAGTGTTTTGTGTCAGTTAGTCAAGCAGCCACCTACAGAGCTAGGTCAAACTCCAGGAACTTACCAGGGCCAAACCATCTGACTCAAAAATACCCCAAAAAGCATGGCATGCTTCGCAGGATTAAGAGGGGAAGTAATTAGCCCGTAGTTTACCTTGTGCAACTACTTCATCTGATCTGGGTAACCGACAGATCTGTTTATTACTGTAATTTATGATGGCTATCAGGATTTAGATGATGCTTTTTCCTGTAATTTAAACATTTAAAATAAGTCAGACATACTATTGATATCTGTTTTACTGTTTGGGAATACTGTCCTGTGACAAATTCATGACTGGAACCTGACTTAAAAAAAAAAAAAAAAAGTAAAAAAGTTACACATCCACTGTGGAGCATCAAAACCATAACAAAAATAATCCCTGTTAGAGCTGTCAGACTTTCTGTATTGCCTTACTGAGGAAAACAATTACTTTTTTAAAGTTCCTAGTGTAATCAAAACCTTTTTTTTTTAAATCAGTTTTTATATGTCACAAAAGTAGGAAAAATGGGACGACAAGGTTTTTTCCAGCCTGAAAACTCAGCCAAATTACTAAAAAGTACACTTTGGTAACAGCAAAGCTGCCTGCCAGCAGCAAAGGCAAAGGTAAAGTACGTGGCAGCTGGGCTGATTCAAAAGGGAGATGAGGACAGGTGTGAACAGGAACAACCTCGGTGGACGCGCGCATGGAAATCTCACACGATTTCCTGTTCTCTCCCACGGGCACCCCCTTCCTGCCTTGCTCAGGATGATCCGAGCTTGGGAGTGGAAACCACCACCACCGCCTCGGGACCTCTCTTCCTGTCCTCCAGCTCCCCAGGGTGCTGCGTCCTGCTGCCCGCACCACTCCCCCACACAGCAGCCTCTTCCCGCTTCCGTGGCCAGAAGCCATCCCCTTTCCGATACAGCAAACAGCGAATCTGTGCGCCAAAAAAGTATTCGTCTCCACGTCCCTCTAAAAGAGGTAATTATGCTAATGCTTAGCACTCCCCTCGTGAGCAGCAACCCACTTGCCCTACCCTGCATCCCAGGCTGCTGCTGTATGTGTGGGAAGGACGAAGAGTTTCTCCTGCCACAGGGAGCGGAGGAAGCGGATAAGAGCAGCCCTGCAAAGCACAGCATACTGTTTTGAGGAGATGGGAAGAGGGACGAGCTCCTGCAAAGAACTGCCATTTGGCCGTAGCAAATAGTAACTGCTTCTCCTACCGTAATCGGTGGCCACTCTCTAGGGTTTCATAGGAAGCAGCGGGAGAGATACCAGCTGTGCCACAGGATGATCTTCTCAAACAGGTGGTCCTCATCTCCTCCAGGGACAGGCACAGGAGGAACAGACATCTGAGCCATGACTTTGCAATTCAGTAGGACTACTTGCCTTTCCCTGTCCGTCTACTTTCGGAAAAATCTGCCCACTTTGCATGTGCCTGAAGCTGGCTCCGTAACATTAAGAGCCCACGTAATACTCAGCACCCTCACAATTTAATGAAAACCTTTCATTTGTGATCCTAGGTATACCTACATTTTGCTTTCAAACCCAGTTAGTTTGGTCCACAATAGATCTGTTTTGCAAATGTTTTTTTCCAGCCACCACTGTATTTGTCTCTCTGTATTGGCAGGATTGGGCTAATATCCATTACAAGTGTAATAGTACAATATTAATGTGTGATCTTTCTTTCAAAATCACCAAGTATGCAGTATAACATACTAGGAGCCCATTTGCGTGTCTTCTTTCTTTTTAAGATGCCATGGGACACGCAATTCAAACAAGCACGAAATTAATCAGCTTCTTCCATTCTCCAATCTGACTGTTGTCCCTCACATGCAGGTGCATTTCAGTGAGGCAGGCTGCTCATCTTCTCACAACTTACACCAAAAATAGAAGAGATGTGAAGGATAAAGTTTCTGGGGTTTTGTTGTTTAATAAAAGGATTATAGTGTTAGTCAAAATTGGAACTGAAATAACAGGGTTAAATTAGAGCTATATTAAATTACAAAATGGTTAAGATACTTAAATACCAGATTTTTTACCTACGTGTATGCTCTAATACAGCCTGTGTCAAAATTAACTATCAAGGACTTGTTATGCTCTATCCAAAAAACTGTTGCTCTTCAATAAATACATTTCCCATGTCTGACTTTATTTACCTGAATTTTACATGAGTGCAAAACTCTTCTATTAAAACTGATCAGCTTATTCAGGAATGAAACCCGTTAATTTTGCGCAGCATTTAGAAATCTAAAAATCACTACTCCTTTCAATACTTAGAAGCAAAATACTGAGCAATATAAGCAGTAGTAGTAAACACATGCCATATACTAACTTTTATCAAACTATTTTACTTCTACATAATCATCCATAATCCATATTAACTTGTATTAATCTCACTCATCTCAGCTACTGTAATATTTCCTTCCCAGAGTTAGTGCTGCTGAAATATTGTGGCTCAGATGATTAAACATTTGGACTGTTATTTATTTAAAAACTTGATTCAATGATCTGTCACTGGACAGGTTCCCCAGTCTGCGATATTGCCAAAGTAAGCAGATTTTTTTCACTGATTTAAAATTCTTTGGCAGCACAGCATCCCAACACAGTCTCAGAGTTCTTCAAAGATGCTTGATACTGAAGCTGACAAGACCACAAAATGAGAACAACCTTGTTTTCAAGAGAGCATTTGGTAAGAGAGACAGAAGCCCATTATGGGAAAAGTAGGACTTTCTCCACACCCCTGAGTAAGTATAAGGGACAGCAAATGCTCTTAACGCTGCTCCAAACACATTCCTCTCACAGGTAAAACAACAGGGCTTAGTACTTACTAGAATACGGTAAGTCATCTAGCCACCCAGGGACAAGAGTCATTGCATGGGAAAGACGATAAAGACTCTCCGACAACTACAACTAAGAAAGCAGTGATTTGTTCTTTTAAAGGAAACACTGCTCCTTTAATGTGCATGGCATGTCCCAAAATTTAGAGAAGACATGCACAGAGATATTAGGATTGAGTGGATGGGACGGACCAGCTCTGAGGTCTGATGTCCAGCACAGCCACAGGAACCCATGCATGTTTTTGAGGCAGACTCCTAACCATTGCTTTTTAAACAAAGCTTCATCGTAGTCAAGACCTTGTAAAACCGCACTAATTGAGAAGTCCTGCAGTAAAAGCTTTTTTACTTCCTGGTGGCAAAAATTGCTGGGAGATGCTCAATACCACGCAATATGGCCTGGTCAGCCTTTAAACCTATGAGTATAGGGAAATGGAACAAAAAGGTTATTTTAGCTGAGAGAGTGTTTTGGTTTCAAAAATGCATACTAGGAGATACATAACTTAAGAGTTTTTCTAAGCTGTGAATTGCTATGTATGCAAACTCCATCCTTAGGACAGTCTGGAACACAGCCGAAGTAACTTCTGCAATAGGGATAGGCTGATCAACTGTAATTTACTGAACAGTTAATATAACCTGCTAGAACAACATTTGATTTTACAAGCCAGTGTTCATAAATGCTTCAGGAAACATTGTCTCTGCTAATACAGACACTTCTCTTTCTTGCTAAAGGAACAAGTAACATCTTACTGTCCATGCCTCATTTAGCCATATAGCTGTATCAAACCTAACCAATAGTCAGTCTTATAGAATATATGCAAAGCCGATTCATTAACTGCAATTTTTAAACCCTAATACAAATGGATTTTGCAAACTGATTTGGATTAACCAAGCCTGGCTGTGCTTCCATCTGGAAGTTATATTTTATAACGCTAGCCACATCTTGAAAAACAGATTCAGATGTTTGGAACAAATTCAGAACAGTTGTAAGAAATTCTAGGTACAAATGAAAAAAAAATTGAGCTTTAATGTCTTTTTCCTCTCAGTTTTCTTTCAAGTAGGCATTTATAATCATGGTATTTAGGGAGTTGAGGGGTAAGGAAAGAATCTGTGTTATTATCTATGACGTATTTACTCATGTGTAACGGCAGTTTGTTCTTTCTCATACTACTCTGTACCATTTTAAGCCTATCCTGATAAAGGGACACAATGCTGAGTGAAAACAGTTAAGAAACAGGGTTGAAGCATCTGGTCTACCCACAAAGATTTTCTGCTAGGAAAATTGTCTTTACATGAAACAGCAAAATGAATATAATCCCTACAGTGAGGATACATCAATATCCACATAAAAATGCCTTTTTAACAGCAGAGCTTATAGCCCATGGGTTGTGTTAGTATAAAATAGTGTCTGTAAGGGTTGTACAACTTGGAACAATGCTAAGTATCTAACTTACTTCTTTATTTAGAGAAAAACGTCATCCAACCTTTTTACTCTAAGCCTTCATCTCTGGATTTGGTCAAACCTACATTAATGTTGAAGCAATTTAATTTATTAATACACAAACCACACACGAGGACAGATGAGCATCAGAAGAGAAAGTTAGTTTTGAAATCTAACACATCCAGAAATTTTTATGCCTTGAAAAGAAAAATTAACCTTCTGCCTTTCCAGCTTCTTTAAAATAACTGTGAAGTCATAAACAGGAAAGCCAAACAAGAGAAATGTACCCAAGTTCCTCAAAAACATGATGTTGTAGATGGTAGAAGGCAAACAACAAAACAAGATTTCCTCTCCACCCACGCCATTTAGCACAGATGCTCTAGAAATCCCACAAACACACTGTTTTTCTCTGATCACATATAGAAGTTTCCTGACTTACCTAGCCTTTTTGCTGGTCTTGGGTTTTGGCGTGGTATTTTTTGCTTTCTTTTCCTTTGGCTCTTTAGGGGTCTTAGGGACTTTGGGGGTCTTGGGTTCCTTCTTTTCCTTGGGCTCTTTAGGATCCTTCGGTTCTTTTTTTGCCTTGGGCTTTTTCTTTTTCTTCTTCTCTTCTTGGGAGCAATCCACTGAGTTTCTGCTTAGATTCTGGCTGTCAAGTCCCCCAGGAAAGTCTTCCTTACCAAAACCTTTACTGGGACCTTCTGCAGCAATGTGATTGTTTTTCTTTTTCTTTTTCTTTTGCTGTGGCTGCGGCTCAATTGATGGCAGATAATCATCGCTTTTCACTAGCTGGGTATTCGGTCCACTAACCTGAGTCATATCCGGCACTGGTTTCTCTAAAAAGGGTTCCGACGGAGAATGCTGAGAGAGACAAATAGAAATAAAATTGTAGATTTGCATCTTTGATTTCTAAAATTTTGCTCTTTTGGAGAAAGAGGTTAGGGAGAAAGTACTAAGCAGAAGATTAACCTAGTAGCGTATCTGAAACATTGTACGTAAAACAGTAAAAACCAAAGTTTTCTGCAGTTAAAACAGTAGCAAAATAACCAGAAATTCTTGATATAGCAAGGGTAAGATTATTCTAAAGCTTGTGTATAAAGCGGAAGTATAGAAAATATTTACAGTCTTCAACATTTCAATGCAAAAGGAAAGCAACTGTTATTTCCGATGTTTCAAAATAGTTGTTACTAGAATGAATAACTTGTTACAAATTATTCAGTTGCTCCAGAATTTTGTCCTCCGGGAAAAAAATTGTTGAAGTTTGTTTCTAGACATGCAAAGGAAAATAAAGTATATTCACAGGCTGCATTTATAAAAAAATAATCAAGGCAATTTACGTTGGTTCAGCTGTGACAGGAGGTATTTTGATCAGCATGTGAAGGATTAAGCCACTTTAAAATGTAATATAAAATTACATTTTATGTCAAAGATCCACAGCTCCCTACTTGTAATTGAAACAGATTTGCTCCTGCTAAGATTGGGCAGAGAACCATGTTAAGTGTTTGTGAACCTGCAAAAACACTCTATTTCAAAGTCTGTATAGTGTATCAGGCTTACACCAGACTTATAAAGTACATGAAAACCTATGTATAATTACACAAATGTCAAGTGCTTGGACTAAACATATTGGATATATTTGCAACTCTTTTCCTCTTAATGGTTCTGTTCTGCACAAAGATCCATGAGTCTGCAATGAAAAAATGTCTAAGCTCTACCGTGACTTTACAGCATATCAAAGCTCCAACCTGCTTCTCCTCACTGCCTGCCCGTGGTTATAAATGCAGGACAACAGTGCTTTTCAAAAAGAAAAGTAATAGCATGACACCATACTGATGCTTTTCTTGCAACTGCATATATGGTCAGACCATTTTCCCACCCTCTTTCTCCCTCTGTTTCTCCTCCTTTTCTCTTCCCTAAAAATTAAGTTGGGATGATTCTAGGTGGAAGAGTTCCCTATTAGCTGTGGTCATGAAGTCTAGCCATTTGAGATGTCTGATCCATTCATCTGGGGAGAAGAAAGGATTACAGCAAATCAGAATTTTACTCCCAGGAATAGCAGTGCCTGTGTAATTGTCTGTAATGTTACTTGCTTTTCCTTTTCTCTGTTTTTTACTCAAACCACACTTACTTAGGAGTGGCAAGCATGCAAATGAATTACTACAAGCCCAGCCCCTGAGCATAAGGAAAACTGATGGGCATACACAGACAGGATGTCCACCTGCATCTAAAAAAACAATGCACTCTAAGATTTAGGAAAAAAAATTCTTAATATCATTACCTGAGAAAGTGAATGCATGTGTATCTTTCCAAATATATTAATATAATTTTCTGAACAAACAAACTGAAAACAAACTAAATCAGTGCAGTCCTAAGTATTTTCAGCATTTCTTTACAGTAGCAAAAAAACGCTGCGCCCTGAATACACTCACATACTCAGAAGCTACCCAACCAGCAGTAGCAGGGCTGTCAAGAAGCGAAGACGTTGCTGTTTGGGAGACGTTTGAACAGTACGAGCTAGACACTACAGTTCTTTATGGAAGAGACTCCAGGACAAGAGGGAAGGCCTGAGTGCCGGACTGAGGATCTGGGTCTACTTGGCTTAACCAAGAACTTCCAGGATGACTTCTGCATGTTTCTGTCCTCCACCTGTTTATTAAGATACTTTTTAGTGCAACAAGGTCTTAGTTGCAGTGGAAACTCAGCTCTAATGCAAACCTGATGCACCCATTGCATTAGCACCACATCAGTCAGCCCCACTTCAAGGCAATCTCATGTTAGACATCCTGAAGTATGAACCAACACCTCTTCTGGAAATCTGTAGTCACCATAACACTTACATATCTTCATGCTGGTAAGTTCACAAAGACTGGATGTCTGTATAGAAAAAGCTGATCCCAGGAAGTCAGTGGTGCCAATGAGTTCTACAGTCAAATTATACATTACATAAAATAGGGATGTTTTAAAATCTTCTAGCTTTGAATTTGGTTGACTGAATTGAATATCTCTTCAGATTTGTTCTGTGGCATAGAAAAAAATTGTCTTCTCTGTACCTCAGACCGTTGTGTACTTGTACTGTCTGACACTTATTTTTAGGTAGAAAAAGACACGAATATTACACAGATCACCTATAAGTACTTCTTATCCATAGGTTTTCAGAGCACTACTTTCAGCCGACATTCTCCCAAGATAGTCAATATATTTCTGTATTATCTGCCATTTCATATCTCATGCATCCTACGTTTTTCAGAGACCTCAAGTGCAAGTTTCATTGATGTCTTCACTGAGCTGTCCACTGCAATACTCGGTCCTCTTTTTATATACTGTTTATTTGCTGCATCTAACATACAAGAAATCAAGTTTTTCTTTCCATTACTGTAGAATTTGTACTGAGCAAGTACCTTGTGTTTGGCACTACAGTATTTGTTTGCGATATTAAGAGAAACTTTTACAACTATCTAAAAGCTTATGTATATGGCACAACTTTCTAGAACAAATCAGAATTGGTAGTTTAATTTATTTTTCTTCCTCTTAAGCATGTGAAACAGCCAAGCCAACAAATATTAAAAACCACAAGAAATCCAGTAATGCCACGTAAATTTAGTTCTACAAAATTTTCAAGGTTGCACCTGCATTAGTGATACGACCGTGTCAGTGAAATCAATATGAAGTTTTATACATGCTTGAGTATTCTCACTACCTTTTTATTCTAATTCAAAAAATTAATCCTTGCCTCCTGTCTGATTTGTGCGTTGTTTCTTTTATTTGTTTGCTTGTTTGTTTTAGAAGTCTGAACAACAACTTTCAGCACAATCATAAGCAAATCTGAACATAAGGCAGACATCTTTCCAGGTCTCCACAACAGCAATGTCAGCCCTTCATGATTTGACATTTGTAGTTTTAATGTAAGGTCTGGCCAGAAGGTAAAGCACTAAGAACGGCAGTGATTGTTTCCACACTGTAGTACTCAGTAACTCATTCTGGAAGATGGCATCCTATGAAAATTCAGATTCTTACTACCTTAAAAAGCTTATCCACAGAGTCATTCTCAGGCTCTAAAACAACTTAGACTATACATTAGACTTAAACCTTATGCGTGAAACAAATATTAAAAAAACCCCAACTTATTGCCTTTTATTTACAGTACCAAATTATGTGCATTACCAAGCACACAAATTAAAATATTATGGTTTTGTTTCATACCATTCACAATTCCCAAAACATTAAGCTACAAAAAGCCAACTCTGCCCTAATTGGGCTTTGGTTATATTTCCTATTACTTGAAAGTACATTACTTTTGCCACATGCCACTCCCTTTGCAGTTTGGCACGTTTTGTAATTCACTTATACATGATCTTTTAAATTGTAACACTCTTTGAAAGAAATTGGTGTGATTAACTTTATTTTTCTAGGAAGTCTGTGCTTACACTTTTGCAATACGCTAAAATGGTTTATCCCTAACTGACAACCCCACATTGCTCCCTAGTGTGAAGCTGTGTAGGAGCAGCACAAATCTAGTGAGAAGAGGAGATCGGAAGCAGCTTCAAAGATGCATTTTCTTATCCCAGACCAGTGGTCTGCTCTTTCTTAAGAAGGGAAAAAAGAAAGAACAGGCTTTCACTAGTAAATATTAGTTTAAGCCTACCACAGGGAATTATTTCAAATAGTTCTACTTCTTTAAATCTACAAAGGATTAACTCTAGTTACAGGGTCACAATTTCTAATTAAAGAACCCCATTTTCCATTTACAAAATTAAAAAATATGTATATTACAAGTTTTTACCAAAAGATTGAAAAATTTATCTGCATACTTCAGAGAAATCTCTTCTTCTGCTGCTTTTAGTAATAACAAAGCCACAATTTAGTATGTTGGTACAGAATTTAATCTTCCACAGGAAGGAAACCAGTGAAGATTAAAACACAAATAGGTATTAATCCTATTTGATATTGCAGCAGAATTATTTTTGGTATTATTTGAAATAAGGTGAAAAAGGTGCTCAAAAATATTGGTGTGTTTACTAGACCCACATCTCTTCAAATCTTTTAGAGAAAAGCTGTTTTTGTAAACATTTAACAAAGAACAGATGGCCTGTTTTAATCATGCGAAAAAACCTGGAGCTCACATTAATACTTCTACCACATCTACTGGGGCTAGTCACCTCCCTAACCAGCAGCATGGTACAGTCTTCAGTAATACCATTTAATTTTACAATGGACATTTTCTCATCAATTCCCACTGCTTGACAGTTAATCAATGCTATTAACATGCAATATCACAATGCAGGACACTCCTAAAGATCACGGCTTATTAGAGCAAAACAGAGATTCTTCAGGAACTCTGAGGAGTTAAAATAATTTGCAGCTCAACAGGTTACCCAGGACAGTAATATGCTTTTGCATTAATAGTAAAAGCCAACAATAATTGAGCAAATAATAAATGAAAACACTATTTGACAAATTGTTTCTGGAGTGCAAACATCTCACTTTTCTGGAATCCAAACTTACTTTTAAACTTCCAAACACGTATCACCAAGATTTGAAAAATTAAAAATGAAGCTGCCTGCATTTCACAGCTGCTTACATGTTTAGAGCTAAGCTCATTCTCCGCAGCCCAAAGCGCCGATAGATGTCTCAAACCAGGCCTGTTACGTAAAGTAGCAAGATGGACAGGATGTAGGATTAACCCAGTGAGGGTTAGTGGCAGGGAGGGAGGTTAAGGAGGAGGCTCTTTCTGTGGCTTGAACAAGGATTGAACCACAATCAACTGTACTTAAGTACTGAAAGCAGCTGAGTGTCAGTTCCCCAGCAGAGCAGCAACTTGAGCCAATATTAAGCTTTAAGTGTAAAGCAAGAGCAGCAAAGTA